AGTTTTTATTCACGAGAAACAAAAAAGGAAAGAAATAACGTCCGATGCTACTAAGCGGTGTACAAAATACATGGCTTTAGCAGTGCCGTTTGAGGTCATGCGAGGTCAGGCCACCCCAGGCCATTTCTTGCAGGCAATAACTTTTGATAGGCAAAGTCACGCATGTCAAAACCAGGGCTGCGGAGTCTGAGTCGGTGTCGGTCGGAGTCGACAGTTGTGACCGGAGTCGGAGTCGGAGTCGATTTTGGAAACCGGAGCCGGAGTCACCAAAAATCCATCGACTTCGCAGTCCTGCCAGGTCTGAAGAGTCGGAGTCGGATTTGGAGTCGGCTGTATTTGACAGTTCTGCCCGGAGTCGAGGTCGGAATTGGTTTTTGAAACCCAGAGTCGCAGTCGGAGTCGGAGTCGCCGAAAATCCATCGACTCCGCAGCCCTGGTCAAAACAATTCCAAAGGGATCAGCTGTGTCGGAACCTTCAGTGCTGTCCACCGAAACCGTTTCAGTTCAGGTGGGCCAAAGTTAAAGGGCAGACATTTATTAGAATACCAAAAATCGGTAACTTTATTGATCCATATCACACATGTAACATTTTCTTTTGCGGATATGACATTTTTGTTCCAGTCTCTTTCATATTTTGTTCTGTAAGTAAACGCAGACAAACCGAATCGCCGTGAAATACACTATGCATTGCCCTTGCATTTCTTTTTTTGGAAAGTAATGCTTTCGGACATTCTTCAGCCTCTATGAAATACAAATAGCCCAAATAATTTTGCAACGTCGTGGAAGGAAAAACTGTGGCAAGTAAAATTTGTCGACTATGTATAGGTAAAAATGGCCCGGAGAGACACCGCTCGCATTTTGAACAGTCCACAAAAATACAGGTGTTCTTCAACACAAATATGCATAATGGCACCTACGTGTCCGAGGTCCATGACTGACTTCCAAATATAGGCTCCCGCTGCTGTTGCTATGCGGTGCAAACGCTAGTTCCGCGGTGGGATGCATAACTGCATAGCAACGCCTCCTCCACAAGAAGGAAGGCACCGCACACAGGCATAGTGTGGAGCAATAGTATGGAAATATATCCAAGTAGAGGTGAGAGCGGATATTGCCCACCAATGGCCACCACCGAGAAGCTCTGGAAAGATGACCGACAGCACGGGGAATATGGCCTGTGGAGTTAGCCATCCCTCAGGAATAGCTGTTAAGGATTGGTATCCATAAAGACAAGTCGACCAAAATAGCCAGAAGGCATTCCATAACATGAGAGTTTAGTGTATATTACCATTCTAGTATAGCTAAGAGGCTCATGGCTGAAAATGTTCAGCGATATGCAGTGGCATACAATGTGCACTGTGCACTGTGCAAAGTGTGCAGTGCCGCGCAGTGGAAGGGTTGCGAGTACTACGCCCAGTGGAAGGGGGGGGGGGCGGATGTCGCCCCCCCCCCTAAGATCTCAGCTCCCACTGGAGCTAGAAAGACGAAATTTGGAGGGTAGGTGGGGGCCATGGGGAACTCTGTTGTGTGTGAATTTCATGACCCTAGGTCAATATCTTCAAGGTCAAATGAGGTCAAATGTGGTCAAATCTGCCATATTAGCGACTTTTTTGCGTTTACACGCCGATAACTCAAAAAGTTACCGGCTGATTTTTTTAATCTTTCACTATACGAAAGAGCAAACATTTGTGAGTATGTATGGTGAATTTCTAGATAATCCAACAATAAATATGGTAGTTAGAAGCCTGCCAAGGGTAAGATGTCGCCGGCTGAGGCGGCATCGGCCGACGCGGGAAACGCGGCAATCACAATTTTGTGTTTACACACTCATAACTCAAGTTGTTACCGGCCGATTTTCAAAATTCTTTGACTATATGATTGCCTGTACATTTCTCAGTCTTCTCACCGAATTTGACGCGAATCTAATATAATCAGCGGCAAGGAGCGGCGCGCGATGTAAAGACGGAACCGTCCCGCCCCGGCACAGTCTACAATTCAGGCGGTGCGTAACGGCTAGCGCCGGCCGCCGCGCCGCCGCGGCGGCAGGATGTTTGACTTTACACCGCTATTACTAGAAAAGTTGTGAACCGATTTTCTTACTTATTGCACAAGAAGATCCGCCATTCAATTCTGGACAGGTAGCCGAAATTTCACATTGATATCATGCTTGCGGCGCGAGTTATTGGCGAAAAACAGGAGGGGTGGGCGAAATCCGCCCCCCCCCCTTCCACTGCGCGTGTTAACCCGCGCCCTGCTGGGGGGGGGTGTTTGAACACCCCCCCCTTGTGGTTTTTCGCGAATATCTCAAAAACGGCGGCGCGGAGCGCCGCCGTTTTTGGTACACCTTATCATACATCAATTCTACACATGTTGTGAAAATTTCAGACCAAGGTCATTCAAGGTCAGGTCACCAGGTCACTTGAAGTGACCTCACCTCATAAAAAGTTTCAATGTCTGTCATAGCTACACCGAGTGACCGATCGCTTTGAAACTTTCAGCGATTGCTAAGAGCAATAGCATGTACAAAATGTATATCTCAGAATTTTGATATCGATGACCTAAGGTCAGGTCAATTTTGCGACCTCCCCATTATAAGTCAATGGGAGAAAATTGAAATGCGCCTCTTTTGGACAAAAGACATTATAAACACTCCCAAACACCGAATTACAAGTGGTTTAGACACACTGAACATGAAAATGGTGTCCGTGACCCTTGTTTATGCCCTGAGGTCATCTAAGGTCACGAATGGTATCTAACAGTTTTTCGCAAATAACTTTTGATAGAGGCATGCTAGAGCGATGAAAATGCCTTGGATGTGTTCAGCTCGACGATACGGATCGACTGATATGCAACATGACCCTTTCCGGTCAGGTCATGACCTTGACCTGAGGTCAAATTTTCAAGTTGACCTTTCAAGGTCAACTTATAGTTCATTCGATGCGTCTTGATGAGAGGAACACAATGCCGGTAAAAGTAAGCTCGTACAAGGCTTGGGTCAAAAGTTATTGCAGAAAAACTGTTTCCGAAAAAATCGGCTATTTTTGCAGTTTTTGCCCCCTGCAGGCAAAACCGTTGACGTTAGGTCAAATCTGAGAGAATTACTCAGAAAGGGCTTTAATAGGGCTATCGAATGCGCTTTTCCGCAGCGCTGTAGCTCTATTGGTTCTCGAGTTATGCGTTGGCTTCTTGGAAATTGTCGACATTCGACCTGGAAATCGGCGAAATTTTGCCTTCAATGACCTCTGGTGACCTGACCTTTGACCTGACCAAAAAATTGACCGAAGTGATTTCGTCATTATTTTTGACGCTCTTTCGAACGCCGCCTTCCGCGTATCGCTACGTGGCCCAGGAGCCGAGTTACAAGGGGGGGTGTTCAAACACCCCCCCCCCCCCAGCAGGGCGTGGAAATCCAGGACCCCCAGCCGGGCGCGGGTTAAAAGGCACAAATGCATGGACATTCCATTACTTACCCCGCGTTCGATGTCTCTCGAACGACGAAGATTCTACGCCATCCGGCCAATCCCGTTCAAGGTCAGCGGGGGCTCGGCTGCGGTTATTATTTTTTTATTTATAATTTAGCTCGAATGTTTGAATGGACGGATTGACAGAGCCGGAGCCCACGCTAAGCAGAGCTTGTTGCGTAGACCCCGACCCCTACCGTCCGATCGCGCAATTCCGGGTAACGGGAGAATTAAGATGCCAAAGTTTAACGTGCCCTTCAAAGCCGGACACGGCCTGTCCCACTCAACTGACTTCAACTGGCTGCGGCTGCTCCCACCAACCGCAGACCATCCCCGTCAGGAGTCTCAAATATCGAGCGCCGGAGCGACTCGAACCCGGGCTCTCACTACCGGGAGTCCGATGCTCTACCAACTGAGCTAAAGGACAGGTTATGGAATGTGATTGGCCGGACGACATAGAATCTTCGTCGTCCGAGAGACATCGAACGCGGGATTAACTTCAGCCGAGTGATTTGATTAATTAACTCAAGATTTAAATAATTCCAGAAGAAAAAAAAAGACAATTTCCAGAGGAGTGCTAATTATGTCTTACGAAACAAATGGTGATGTGAGTCGGCAACAGAGATTTTGGAAGCTTACAATCGCGCATTTCAAAAATCAGACACCTTGCAATGAAGCTCTTTATTGTGAATACATAGGTCTTAGCACGACGAGGTCGCAAACCAGTGAAAATCTTCCCGATGATTTAAACTAAAAGATCTAGTAAAAGCTAGATTTGCTTTGCCCGTCAGTGTCTCACAGAAATGCAGCACTATAGCAGCTCAATGTCGAGGCTACTGTCAGGTTTTCTTGCCCGGCAGGTGAAGTATGACAAAGACGATAAGCGGGCCTTCGGGCCTTCCCAGCGCGAACACCAGGATTAAAATGCTCTCCCGTGGGATCGGGCGTGTCGCGGGTCATTTAATATCGGCCATACGAAGCTGTCGCCACGTCCCACCAGCGACTCTCGGGGGTGCCGTAACGTATGATCAATTCCGCAAAATGATCACCATAAACTTGAAAAGTGAAAATGCAGAGTGAAAATGCGTAGTGTTCAGTGTCAGTGCCTCAGTGGACAGTTTCGTCAGCGTACGATCCCATTCACTCACACATTCACACGCCAGAAAAACATGGGGACGAAGACAAGCAGTGCACCCATTGTCTGAGCTCTAGGTCAACATTGACTTACGTCAAGTAATAGTACGTTATTCAAGTCACTATTCAGATACGCATAATAAGACAATCTGTAAACGCTGACAGCATAAGCAAGCTGAGTAATACGAAACAATTACGCTACAATTATGTAAATATGACGTTAAAAAATGGGTGCAATGCCAGTGCTTCAATAGAGGACTGGGAAGGGTCACATCTGTCTCAAGAAAAGACGCCATGATTTACTTTAGAGTATATATTGGAATGAATGCACAGGAATGATGGCATAAAAGAACGGCTCTGTAGGAGTAGCAACGCAGTAACTAGAAACAAGAGACAAGACATATTTACCTTTTCAACGCGGTCATAGTTTCTAGCTTTCAGCTGAAAATAACAGAAAATCATGTCACTGTCAAAACACGAAACACACAAAATGATCTACCGAATTTGACTACATTACGGAAAGGAAACAAAACCGAGGCATCCACACACAACAGCCGCGGCCCCCTCACACTGGACCTCGCAGGCGGGCTGCGAGTCTGCGGGTTTCGGGTTTATGGGTAACACTCATTACTCATTCATTGAGTGAGAACATCATTCTCTAATGCTCACTCCATGGGTGCTGTGAAGCCGATACAATTTCAGAAAATGATGTATTGTCTCCATAACAGCACAACGAACCAACAAAACTCATTAAAACTTGCAGCCCTCGCAGCGAGGAAAACCGAAATTTGACTCAAAATCAAGTTTTGGAATGCGAGGCGAGGTGGTTCGCAAGTCAAAAAGCTTGCGGACTCACTTTTTAGATGGCAATGTGAGTCACTTAATGTAGAATGTATTCTTTAACTTTGAAGAAACCCGAAAACCCACAAACTCGCAACCCGCATGCGAGGTCCAGTGTGGGGCGGCCTTAAGACTGGGTAATTGTTTTATATTTCGATATTCGTTTTTATTAGTTCTTTGGATTTATAATGAATTGCAATAATTGATTTTAAATAAAAAAGCATAAAAATAAGAACACTACACCACAGATCATATAGGGAAATTAATCCCTTTATTCAACCACCCCATCCATAATAGGCACCATGGCATCACAATTTCATGGCGACGCTTTCACACAACCAGGACTCAAAAGCAAGCACTGATTTACCCCCACCCCATATTCCCCCCCCCCCCCTGGCGCAATTCCACGATAAAAACTCTGCTTATCCTACCCTACACAGTACCGCGCTGCCGCGGATACGAGCCGACGGGGCGCGCCTGCGTTACCTCCTGCTCAATGTACTGTTTCCAGAAGCGTCCGGACGTGTTGAACACTGAGACGAGCCGCTCGTAGACGTCCCGTGCGGCGTCCACCTGCCACGAGCTGGCCTGGTGCAGCAGGTAGCTCCAGCCCTCCAGGTCGTACGGGTTCTCGCGGGTGATACGCTGCGCCCGCTCCAGCTTGTCGTCCGCTCGCGGCTCGGCCGGCGGCGCCTGCGGGACGGCGGACAGACTCGGCGGATTAGCACGGGGACACCAGGGAAATACACTGAGGATTGTCATACAACAGCATGGCGATATGGTTATGGAGCAATGCTGATGGTGTAAGACCTGGCAATAGACAAGGAAGAGCACCATAGTATTATTTCCAGCGTGTTTTCATGCATACTTCTATGTGCTGAACTGCTGTACTGGCACATCGATGTCCTAGAAAATGACATACCTAAGGGAGACACATGGGGCCAGCTAGGTAGATTGCAGTCTTTCACTCCAAAAGTATCTAAGAATTGTGGTAAAAAATATTCATCTTGTTTGGTGCTGACTGGTGCATGTTTACAGTCTGGTAGGTATGGGAGCTGGTGCTGGTTTTCCACAGTTGCTGGTATGGTTAGTCAACCACATCACACACTTTGCAGGCTGGGAAGAGGCCAATGCACTGCCTTATAAAAACAAAGAATTGTCCATAAATGTAGTACTCCAGCCCAAGCCCAGTGTAGTCACTAGTCACAGTGCAGCAGCAGAGGCAATAAGAGGAGCACTCTGGAGATAAATCTGCATCAGCTAGCAATGACCAATTATTATTCAGCCAAAAGTTAATGGCAATTAGCAGCAAAGCCACGCCAACCCCATCTCCCACCAAACAAGAGCTGTTGATCTCTATTCTCTTATTGCATGATATTGATATGTTTAACATTGAAATTCAAACATAAGAATTTGGTATTGATAACTAACTGAATCAGGGTAGTTCAGCTAAGGCTTTGATTGTTGAAGCTGGAGGAAGCGGGGCAGCTGTGTGCACGGACTGCAGGGATGGAGATTGGGCATTAGCAGAGCAAACATCTCACAAAGGTTTTCTAACTGAGGAGAGGCACTATACCTGGAGGTGCTTCTTTGTTGAAAAACTTAAAACAAACCTAGCCTAACCTGACCTGACCTGACGTAACCTACAGCCTACAAACTTACAACCTGCAACCTACCCTACAATCTACCCTACAACCTACAAACTTACAGCACCTCTCCTTGGTTGGAAAACCTTTGTGTGATGTCTGCTCTACTAATGCCGGAGAATCAATAATGTAGGCCCAATCAGGCATCATCATACTACACACTAAGCCTGAGTAGCCGAGCCACAGGTAAGCATGACAATACAGAAGAGCTTAAAAACTTCCGGAAAAAAAAACAAAGCTCAGACAATTCATACTGCAATGCAGACAATCTGCACTTCAACACACTTAGTTTGAGCGGAAGTGATGCACAGCTCGTTCAATTTAAATTTGCCATGCTCCGCAATCAGGTTGAGGTGAAACACTACACACACACATCCAAACCAAAAACATGTGTATGGCTAAAACAATCAGTCCCCCATCTTAACTTTGAAAAAAACTCAATTATAGATAAAAAAAGTAGCGCACTGTGGCGTCAGATTTCACATGCTGCTGTTAAAGGCTAAAGCCTCAACCCACCATTTCTAATCAAACGTGGGTTGAGATCACTGTTGTCAATTATTCTCTTCACACTGGAAAACGCTTTAAAGATAACACTCCCGGGATTTTATTTTACGTAAATAATTCATTGTCACTATTCACAATCCACACAAAACACAACACACTGCAATCGCGCGGACGACGCGGAAAATCGCGATGGCGCCGCGTCACAATGAGCAGTGCCGCGCAGAATATGACGCGCATGATTCAACAGCTTGCTGCCGCTAAATGAAATTTGCAGAAAATACGTGTACTTATTCGCACCTTGTAGATGCCTAAATAATGATTATGGCCGCGTTCGATGTCTCCTCGGACAAAGAACATTCTACGCAGAATATTCTATTTTGCGTTCGATGAAGCACACAGGCGGACGACGAGATCGGCCATTTTGTGCGCCACTTACACAATGTGCGTCGGTTTCGAAAAAGGCCCAAGTTTACGTTTCCATAGAGACCGCGCACAAATGTCAACAACTTCTGCAAACAGCTGCTGCGCTGCTTTTGAAATACGCGCCATCATTGCCTCTCTGCCCACCGTAGTACGCTCAAAAGATTCTGCGCGGTAGAGGTCTGCACCGGCCGGCTGCAGCCGCGGCTGGCTGCAGCCCCACGGCTGTGGGCCGGGGCGGCTGCAAATATCTCCAAGAACACGGCTACGGCTGTGGCCACGGCTGTGAGATTTCAAGCTCAATCTTAAGTACTCAAATATAAAATTTTAAATCCTTAATCTTACATTCTGATAAGCAGTCTAGCCTGTAAAAATCATGCAAAGGATGCCCAGCAACATTGAAAGTGGTGAAGCCTTTGAAAACCTGTAATAGTTTTACCATTTGCTGTAGGGGAGTTTGCTTTCTGGTACAGAATACTAATTATAGGTACCAATTGTTCCTTCATCATTAAGAGCTTGACAGTTTCAGAAAATGCAACATGTTGCATTGTCACATTCCTCTCAAATCAATCTCACCTGGTCATTAGGAGAGCACCTTACAGCTATTGAAGACGAGCGTTCAATAATTCTTTCAGGTAATAGAAAAAGAAATCACGCCTAGATGAAGGCAGGTAAAGGCTTCATAAAATATTATCTAAAATAACTCTCAGATGTATTTCTGGATTTTCGGCAAGTCCAATTACATAATATAAAACTGGTGCTTTATGTTCTAACTGGTGTGTGTGTGACCGCTAACAGAAAATGCTCATGAACGAAGCCAATGGAATTAGAATATAAATGAGCATGAACCTTACTTACTTCACATGATGGTGAAAACCCTGAACACGTAATTCACATGACAATATTTATTACGCGAGCTGTTGACTTTACTAATAAAATGACGTCTTCTTCTGAAAATGTAAAAATTTGATGTTCAGTCTTTGTTTGAGAGCAAGTTTTTCAATTGTATAGCATAATTATTTATAAATAATAATTTTTATGGCTGTTTTTAGTGACACAAAACAATTTTTCGCCACTTTTTTGCTATTGACGTCATTAAAAACTCAAGTAAAATTTTTGATTGAAAGAAGCAATTGTGGCTCGCACGTCCTTAGGGATTTGAGCGAAGATCATTATTTGGAAAAATCAAAATATATGAACGTTTTCCTTTCTTGGATGCTCACTAGTGTTTTGATGATGCCTTGCATATCAAATTAGTTTGAGACTTGCTCAGAAGGCTGCTTCAAGCCTGGCATATCACACCCCAGAAAATATGCAAGGTAAGAAAGAAGCAAGAGTTTTGACAAGACAATCACTGTTTGACAGTCCATCAACTTCAGTTACATTTTCCATACCTAACATTGATAATGAAAAGCATCAGGGTCTGTTGTTCTGTCCCACAACCATGCTTCAGGATTTGGCATTATATATCTACACTGCTAGTGCTTCTATTCTGGTTCGTTGTTTGTTTTCTGTTGATGTAGGTAGTAGGTACCACCTACCTACCCATCTTTCTTAACCCCTTGCAGGGACTTGTGTAGGCATGCGATGCGCATCAGGCTTCAGGCCTTCGGCCTAAAGCCAGATACACAACCACTTAACCTATGATGCTTCATGAGCTTGAGAATCTACAGCCCATTGCAATGTGCTTTTGGCTATAGGTATATTTCAACTAAAAACAACTTATTATATACTATTTGGTTGCATTTCATTGAAAGTATCCACGGCCGGCTGACGGCTGGCTGCCCACAGTTTGCCACGGCTGTGGGCGGCTGTGGCTGTGGAGCCACGGCTGTGGGGCGGCTAGGCTGTGGAAAATTGCAGCCGTGCAGAACTCTACTGCGCGGACGACGAAGATTCTACGTGACGTCACGTAGAATCTTTGGGTGACATTCATAAGTACCAGAGTACAATTGTACCCAGGTTACACCGGGACCAAGGTTACACAGGGGCCCAGGTTACGTTCAGCCCCAGGATTTGAAGGGACCATGAAGACGCAAGTACCATACTGTGATTGGTCGTTGGCAGACGGGAATGACGTAATGCATCCCTGTGGCGGCCGTGACGTTGACCAATAGGAGGGGCGGATACAAATTTGGACCACCTTGGTACACTACTTGGCAGTGTGCTTGTGATTGATTTTCTCGAGATTGAATTGAGGTAGCGCCGTCTATGTTTTAGGGCCTTGGCGCCGTCCATCGCCCGCCGCGGCGGCGCCCAGGCCCGATGGTCATCCGGTGTGGCGGGAGGTAGCGTCCCTCGGCCCCCCGCGCGGCGGTATAGCGTACTGCGGCGTCCGAAGGAGAAGTGAAAATGACCCCTTGCACGAATTAGTGTTCGCAGCGGCTACTTAAATTGCAGGAGGGGGAGGAGGCAGGGGCGTCGCCACGGATTTTTGAGTGGGGTGGGGTCGGGTTTCCGGTCTTCGTCTTGATGGGTAGAGGTGTTATTAGCCACACTCCCGGTTTTTTCATGTGTTGAGAAAAATCTCGGCGCGCAGCGCCACGAAAGCAGCGGTGTATCTTATTGTACATACTACATACATCACTTTTGCATCGTGCATAAAAATCCAGCACAGGCCACCTGAGCTCAGGTCACAATGTCATGTTCAGTTCAGTTCTAATGCCTCTAAAAGCTGCAATCTTGTCATTCCTATAGATTTGCCTGTCCCGTAGCTCAGTTGGTAGAGCATTGGACTCCCGGTAGTGAGAGCCCGGATTCGAGACGCCCCGGCGCTCGATTTGAGACTCCTGACGGGGACGGTCTGCGGTTGGTGGGAGCAGCCGCAGCAAGTTGAAGTCAGTTGAGTGGGGCAGGCCGTGTCCGGCTTTGAAGGGCACGTTAAACTTTGGCATCTAAATTCTCCCGATACCCGGAATTGCGCGATCGGACGGTAGGGGTCGGGGTCTACGCAACAAGCTCTGCTTAGCGTGGGCTCCGGCTCTGTCAATCCGTCCATTCAAACATTCGAGCTAAATTTATAAAAAAAAGATTATCTCCTATAAGTCTGAAATTTGTTGTAATGAATGGGATTATAAGTGCCAACAGTTCATGAATCTGGGATTTTACATCTGAAAAGTGAAGTATGTGACCTCACCAATCAATCATGATAAAATATGGGAAAATGCACGAGATGCCCTCTGCTTTGAACGAATATGCTAAAAACGCTATAAGATACCTACTTTTGTAGCCATGGCACCTCTGCTCATTTTAGAGACAAGGCGCAGCTAATGACCAGTGGTGACTCGAATGGTCAGTCATTACTATAAGTTAGGTCATCAAAGGTCTCTAACACATTTTCGACAACAACTTTTGATGGAGACGCTGTAGAGCAATGACAGCACCTGGAGTGTGTTCAGTGTGTGTTCAATGTTCAGTGCTGGAGTGTCAAGTGTGTTCAGCTCAGCAACACAGATCGATCGCACATTTTTGCAGCGGGTTCTTTTCCGGTCAGGACATGACCATTGATTAACCTTTACTTGATGTCAAGTTTTCTAGTTAAGTTCTTAAGTTCAAATTGTAAGCCATGGGACGTGTTTCGACGAAACAAACACGATGGTGATACCTAACATGAATATCATACACATTCACTGAATCATATAGGTTGTTACAGAACAAATGTTTCGGCAAAATCCGTCCGTTTAACTGTTTGGCCTCTGTGGTACACAAGCCATAGACCCGAAGTCATATACCTATCTGAGGCGAAGCTGGCGAAAGAGCTTTAAAAAAGCTATCGAGTACGCTTTCTGTGTCACTATAGCTCTTATTCGTGTTTTACGGGTCGCTAAGGTAAAATGTTTACCAACGCAACGCTGAAGGTATGCTTTCGGCCCCTGGTCGAGGTAGAGCTTCGCGGAAAAGCGAGGATGCTGCCCGTGATGAGAGAAAGCCGATGATGCCCAATTTCAAGGTCTTGGCCGGGTCATCTTAGGTTAACTCCCAAAAGTAGAAAAAGCTGGCCTGCTAGAACTTCATCATCATCATCATCATCATCATGTATTTCGGACAACATCCATAAAATGGTTTTTCAGCAATCCACGTCATCTGACAATAAAAGCGACAATGAAAGACACACAGATACACACACAGAAACACGTACCTAGCATGACAGTAATCACAAACAAGTGCATCAACCTAAGTGCGCAATCGACATACCTTTCTTAAAAGCAGTCATATTTGGTGATGCTCTGATCTCGGGGGTCAGGCAATTCCACGCTCTCACCGCCCGGTGGTAAAAAGAGCGTCTGGCAAGCTCGGTGCGTGCACGCGGCAGCTCCAGCAGACCGTCGCTGACCGCCCTGGTGGTGCGCGACGACACATTGGCGCGACTCACCAGTCGAGCGCGCAAAAGTTCAGGGGCGCTCTCACGTGTGAGTCTGTACATCGTGCATAGGTCACGTTCGGTTATCATGTCTCCGATGGTGGGCCAGCCAAGCTCGCGCAACGTCCCGGATATGTGCTCACGGTACCCTAAGCCAGACACGACGCGGGCGGCAAAGTTGATGCACTTTTGTAGCCGACGTTTCTGGGTCGCATTACAGCCTCCCCACACACTCATGCAGTAGTACAAATGGGGGAACACGAGGGCTTCAACTAGCAGTTTCTTTGTTTCCCGCGGTACGCGGCGCTGCATTCTGGCCAGCCCTATCAAAACACAGTAACACCGCCGGGTGACTGTGCCTATGTGGTGTTCCCAAGTCAGATTCGAGTCGAGATTTACGCCCAGGATCTTGACACACTGTACTGGAACGAGATCGGAGTTACTAAATCGTACTTGAAAGTCAAAAGGTGAGTTTTGGCGTGATGATTTAAAAACGAGCAAGTCAGTCTTAGAAGGATTGAGCTTAAGTCTATTTGTAGTAAAC